ACGTCCTAGACACTTCCTCGACAAGCCTGGCAGGCTGCCGCTGCACTTGGCCTACACACACTTGGCCTAGACACGTCCTAGACACTTCCTCGACAAGCCTGGCAGGCTGCCGCTGCACTTGGCCTACACACTTGGCCTAGACACGTCCTAGACACTTCCTCGACAAGCTTGGCAGGCTGCCGCTGCACTTGGCCTACACACTTGGCCTAGACACGTCCTAGACACTTCCTCGACAAGCCTGGCAGGCTGCCGCTGCACTTGGCCTACACACTTGGCCTAGACACGTCCTAGACACTTCCTCGACAAGCCTGGCAGGCTGCCGCTGCACTTGGCCTACACACACTTGGCCTAGACACGTCCTAGACACTTCCTCGACAAGCCTGGCAGGCTGCCGCTGCACTTGGCCTACACACTTGGCCTAGACACGTCCTAGACACTTCCTCGACAAGCCTGGCAGGCTGCCGCTGCACTTGGCCTACACACACTTGGCCTAGACACGTCCTAGACACTTCCTCGACAAGCCTGGCAGGCTGCCGCTGCACTTGGCCTACACACACTTGGCCTAGACACGTCCTAGACACTTCCTCGACAAGCCTGGCAGGCTGCCGCTGCACTTGGCCTACACACTTGGCCTAGACACGTCCTAGACACTTCCTCGACAAGCCTGGCAGGCTGCCGCTGCACTTGGCCTACACACTTGGCCTAGACACGTCCTAGACACTTCCTCGACAAGCCTGGCAGGCTGCCGCTGCATTTGGCCTACACACTTGGCCTAGACACGTCCTAGACACTTCCTCGACAAGCCTGGCAGGCTGCCGCTGCACTTGGCCGCGAGGCGGGGAACCAGCTGCGACGCCTGCGCGGTCGGCCTGCTGCTGGAGGCGCGCCAGGGCGAATTTCGGCGAATCTCGGCGAATCTCGGCGTCTCTCGGCGTATCTCTCTCGGCGGACCTCGGCGGATCTCTGCGGATCTCGGCGGATCTCGGCGGACCTCGGCTTGTTGCGGGAGGCGTACCCTGGCGGAGCGCGGCATCGAGACCGCGAGCTGCGGCTGCCGCTGCATCTGGCTGTGGCGGGCCGCGCGCCGGACGAGGTCAAGGCGATGCTCCTGGCGGCGGACATGCCGCTCTCGCACGACGGGGCTGCCCAGCCGCACCAGTTCAGCTGGACACGTGCGCTACCCCGCCCC